TGATTAGCCTTACTGAAAGTTCTATCATGTGTTTTCATATGTGATGAAAAATTAATACAAAAACAAAATCAACAGTACTGTAATATGAGGCATGATAGTAGAAAGCTAATTTAAGAAGGACATTAGTCATAGAATTCTAGATAGGATATTTGAGTATTATTCATGTTACAGAACCTAAAGTGACAATTGGTCAAATCTGGGAGGAAGAAAGCAGAGACAGGCAGACGCCATGGTTCTCCTGCCCGAGATGGACACTGGTTAGACTCATGCCAGTAAGCCACAGTCAAGTGGCGGTACACGTTAATGGAGATGGGTTAAACTAATATGTGAGAGTTAGCCAATAACAGGCTAGAGATAATGGGCCAGGAAGTGTTTTAATTAATATAATTTCTGTATGGTTTTTTTCGGGGGTTAAGCTAGCGGGGCGGCAAGACGCATCCCAATTGCCTCTTACTACATAATCTAATATATTCCAATATTGACATTATTCCATTGGGCCTTTTTTTTTTACCATCTAAACGAGTTACAATGGATTTTCTACAATCCCGTTGCTTAATTCTGAGAAATCTCAAATTAAAGCACAATCAGAATATTCTATGAAGAAAATAATTGCACCAAGGTAACTGAGTCAATGTTTTATGTAGTTCCTATTAAACACAGATCTCAGAATAACCAAGATTTTAGTACTTCTTAGGATGCCTGAGGGCTTTTGCTACTTTCTGCAGACTCATGCCTTATACTTAGAAGCATCATGTCCCTTGTTTTTAGAATTCACAGTAATGTCCAATGTCCATGGGATCAAAGAAATAGTCATGCTTGGCTACCTTACCCCTAACTGAGAGAGAGATCATTTTCAACTGTCCCAGGTGGATAGGATTGAAATTCATATTTGAACTTCAATTGTACTGAGTTACAGAGTCTCCAAAGGACAAAGCTTGAAAACCTTTGGCTTCATGGAAGAGGATCAGTCTAGCTCTAACTATATATGAAGCATTTCTTTAGCTACTAACTCATTGGAAATTGCAGAAAGCTATGTTGAATGCAAATGTAGGTGTTAATGTCACACATCACACTTTTAAACATAGATCTCTAGACATGAGAAATATCAGTTTGCATGGCAAGCACAAGGATGAGGAATGAACATTCCCCCCTAATATTACAGAGAAATGTGTTTGTTCCCACTGGCTTAAGATTCAGCATTTAACTTGAAGTTAATTTAATTTCAAAGAAAATTGTATTAAATTACTTCAAAAACAGTGAAACTGAACTAATGCATTTTATCCATGTTTGAGTGTTTCATTAAAAGCTTAATGTTTAACGTGACATTTTCAAGGTACAATAAGAGTGACAAAGGCAAATGTAATAGGGTGATGGAATAGCACCATGATAAATCAACTAAAATGAGGCAGATTACCCAAGTGGAGGAAAGAAGCATCTCTATTGGTATAGAATCAACATTTGTCATGGTCTTAGGACAAGGTAATTGTGAATGGGCATACTTGTGTTTTCATCAATACAGGGAAATTTGAAAATTTTAGTTTTGACAGGATCTGATTCGCATTTCTATGGATCTTACAGATATAATCCAATTGGCAACTCTGACTCATGGTTTTGTTTATACACTTGTGCCTCAGCACATCAGAAAAGTTATTTTTTCCTATAGTTTCTAAGAATGTCTCTCAATTACAGGACCCAAGACTGAATCATTCCTGGTTTCATTTCCTAGTTTACATCTATCTTCTTTTGTATATGTCTGTGAATTATGACATCTTTCAGAGTCCATCGGGGACATGGAATGGACATGCAATATTTTACTGACTTGAAAGTACACTGGGGAAAAAAAACTTTCCAGTAGGGAAAAATTATACATTTGCATTTGATTTTCCTCTTTCCAATGCAGAGCAGCAAGTAAAGCAGAGAAATCTAAGATTTCCTAGGCCTCATAGAGTAGCCATTCTCCATGCCATAGTAGCCCATATTTAACTTTGGCATTTGTTCTTTTGTGGTAAAAAAAATGTCTTTCTACTTCCTAATTACTATTGTTGTCAATGTCATCCTCGTCATAATGTTTATTATTATCATAACTAATTTTCTTTACAAGGAGACTCACTATTCTAGATGCATTTTTTTGTCTTAATTGATCCTCATTTCTACATATTATATAAAATTTTTCACTCATACATTACCAACCAAATATAAGTACTGTGATTTTCTTCTTAGGTTCTTGATTCTCCAAGTTCCCCACTATATCTTGATTTTAATTTCTTTTTATCTGCTAAGCTAAGATCTTTTTTATTTGTCACTGTGTCTACTGATATCCTAAGTTCTACACTCAAGATCTACTAAGTTAATTAGAAGCATTAATTTGCACAATTTAATCTGCATTTCCTTCTTCCATTCCTTATTTCCTTATTGGACTAAAAAGGATGAGTTCTTTGCCTTACATTGTCAAAAGGCCATGTATGCCTATGTGAAACAAGATACCATTCTGCCCTCTTAAGTGCTGTTTAAGGTAGATTAACAATCCATAAGTATGCATACTCATCTTATTAGACATATGCTGTTCCATTAGAGTGCCAAGGATAGGAAGTTGTTTTATTTTGAAATATTAGAGAATCATTCACATTGAAAGACCAAGCTCTCTAGAGCACCTTGGGAGATGCCAAGTATTTGGCCTTGTCTGATATAAATGGTCTTTGTAAATAAGGTTGTGAAGGAATAATAGTGTTTACTGTCGTGGAGAATTAAAGGGAAATAAAAAGCTAAGTGACATTCATTTGCTTTAGATTCAAAAGTGATATTCTCATCATTTATTTTGTATAAATCCTTTTCAAATACTATATTTTTCCTTTACATATTTGCCAAATCACAAAGGGGTAGTTTTATACAGATAATCTCAACCTCCTCATTCATTTATCTTTTAGAATCATAAATGTCATTTATAAAAAGTGGCATCCACAGCAGAAACAGAAGAGGAAAAAAACTCATGAAAATGATAGTTTATTCTATGTGCATATTAAAATAGTAAGTGGTCACGTGAATGCTTTCTTTACTACTATTATAGTGATAAGAAATTACTGTTATCAGGCAAAGATAACAAGTTTCCTTTTCTGGATGAAATGAAGCTTTTATGAACAGTTTAGTAGGAAATTATCTCTCCACTTTAAGGGACCCTCTGGTATTTTATCCATACTACCCAATGGTGCTTAATTTATTTCAAATACTATAATTATTCATGTAGCATCTTCTTTTCCCATTGAATTTTTTTTTGCATATACACATTTCATCTCTCAGTTTTCCAAAGTATCTCCCAGTGCTCAGTATTCTGCATATGGTTTAGTGTAGTAAGAAGCCCACTTGTTTGTTTCTGGCTGCCCAGACTTGAAATAACCACACAGAACCTGTATTCATTAAATCACTGCTTGGCCTATTAACTCTAGCTTCTTATTGGCTAGTTCTTACATCTTAATTTAACCCCTTTTAATTAATCTATGTTCCACCATGTGGCTGTGACTTACTGGCAAGGTTCCAGCTCATCTGGCAATGGCTATATGGCATCTCTTTGACTCCACCTTCTTTCTCTCAGCATTTAGTTTATTTTTCCCCACCTAGCTCTGTTCTGCCCTGCTACAGGCTCAAATCAGTTTCTTTATTCACTAAGCAATAAAAGCAACACATATACAGAAGGACTTCCCATATAAATTTAGACTCTAAATATGTGAGTGACCAATCCTATTGAAAGTTGACTCTTGTCTTGTTACTCATATACCTTTGTTTTAAATATTGAGTTCCCGAAGAGTGGCCAGCAAATTGTAGATAATTTAATGAACTTAAAAAGTTTTCTTTAGAAAGACTAAACTTAGCTGTCCTTTTATCAACATTTTCAATTAAAAAGATATTTGTTTTGCCAGAATTATGATATACAATTTACAGAATATGCTCTAACCTGGGTATATTCAGAGGCACTACATTTAAGGAAGAAGTAAATTTGGAACTTAGTTTTGATGCACATGCTTGCAAATGATAGGAATCAAAACTCAAGGAAAGTAATGTAATTAAATTATTGATGATCAAAACCAAACTGATGCATGAATTACTACATAATAGTTAGATTAAAAGTCTCCCCTTTTATAAAATATCATAAACAATTCACAGTGCATTAGGTTACACTCAATACTTTGAAAGAACATTTGACATTTAAAATATGTATTAAAAATAAAAGCACTAGAACAATTCAGTTCTAACAACAGTTGTTTTTTCCTTAATATAGCTTTTTTCCTAAAATGAAAATGGATAAATCTATCAGTTCTACAAACTATTAACTATATTTTGCAATGTTAAACAAACAAGAGAAAAATTAATCTTCTGTTCTCTCTCAATTGAACAAATAAAGTATCTATCATCTCTGACAGATGTACATTAGATTCCTATAATTTTTGTTAATTTCAGATAATTAATTTCAAATCAGCAATTGGGATATTTAAGTAACTTAGAATTGAAAATATATGATATATTAAATGAAAGCCTCTTCTTACAGAGTCTAAAAGTTAGAGGCCTGATAGTATGCAAAATATCATGTATTATATTGAAATGTAAACTTTAATATAGATATTTAAAACAACTGTGTGTTTTTGTGTAACCTTTGAACTTGGTGTGTTTCCTCATAGATGTTCATGCAGGCAAACTCTATCATTTGCTCTTGAACGTGCTTTCAGCCACAGTCCCACTTAAACCAAATAGAAATTGTGACAATAATCTCTGCCACTAGCGTAACTTGTAGAATAGAATAAAAGCAAGGAAAGTTTTTGAACATGCCAAGTGCTAAGTATAATTTAAGATCCTTAAATCAAGAGATAATTTTAAAAAATGCCAAAGTAAAACAAATCACATACTTGGCAATTCTCTTTTATAAAAGGCCTGAAAATGTCCCTCGGTGTAAAGTATTGTGACACTTGGAAAATTTCACCAAGCTGTAGCATTCAGTTTTCACTGAAACCTACCTTTAAAATTTGGCCTGATTCTTGCATCATATCCTGATGTCCTTCCCATTAATTTATCCAAGAAATCTGAAGGAGAGAGGGTCTGCGAGGGATGTTTTCCAGACCTGGAGTCATAGTCTTTGCAGACACCTTCCCTAAACACATTTTAGCAAGAATTACACCTTTAACCTCTGAGAACTAATTCAGAACATTTGAAACCATATTTTCACAAAAAAATGTTTGATATACTAACAAGAAGAAAGATCTGAAATCTTTGATCAACTTCTGAACTGTACATTCTCTGAAGTTAACTTCAGCTGATGAAAAGGATAAATCCTGAGTAATGTCACCCATGCTTCTGAACTTTATTTCTGCTTTGCTTAAGGTGAGATAATGTATATAGACTCAGGTTCCATATTTTATGGCTATACAAAGTTTTTTTTTTCAGAAATTATCAGAAAACTAAAGGCAGGCTGTGAAATTCATGTGATAATGTAAAATAATTTCCTATGATTATAAACATTGTTGCATTTCACCTTTAAATGTATTTTATATCCCATATGAGAAACATATGATAATAAGATGGACTGAATAATAAAATTAATTATTGCATGCATATTTTTTCACTTGCTACCATTCTATTGCAGCTAACAGGCATTAGTCTTTTCCAATGTGTCGTCTAAAAAAGCAACCTCCACTTGGAATTTCACCACCATTTTAAAATAGATCAATAATGAGTATGTTAGTTTCATTATTTTATCAGTTCTCACCATATATGAATATATATAAATTGTTGAGCCTCCAATAAAGGATTAATGGGAGATCATTTTTACACCAGTCTACCTCTTACATTATCAAAACCAGTAAAGGGTAATTGAAAATTTCTCAGATATTCATATCTATATTAGAAGTCATAAAAAGCATATAAAATGCCATATTTGTTTTGTAGCAAATTGAATTCTCCTACAATACATCGGTAGTTGATTGAATGTCACTAACGTGTGCACATATTGTCTACATATACAAGTGTGTCTGAATGTGTTTTAAATAAGTTATTAATCCTGCCATTAAGATAACACCACATTTCATGCCAGCAAATCAGAGGCATTAATTACAAGTGCGAAGATGATATGAACATTTGGTAGGAGTTAAAAATTGGTACAGTCATCCAGAAATACTCACATTCTCATCTGCAGATTCATCTGATTAATCAAGTATTATTTTATTATGATGGTGGTTGGAGTGAGGCCAATGATGATGATGGTAATGATGGTGATGATGATGGTGATGACTTTAATAAAAACACAGCCTACACGCTTTCTTAATGACAGTAAGAGGTGTAAATCTGAAAGGAACATAGTGGGGTTTCCCAGTACTCATAGCATTATTTCTATGTGCTCAATTTCACTTGGTTCTGTGGAAAAAATACCATAAAATCTTGTAAAACATTAAATGTCCCACATTTTTGTTTTAATAAATTTTTCTTATGACTAAGCTGTCCTACTCTATGCCATTAACTGGCTATTTCATTCAGTGGCAATAAAATTGATATTTCAAAGTATCAATTGATTTCACAATTAGCAAATTATTTGAAAATGCAAGCATGCAAATAATGACTTCTCACTTGTTTTAATTATGTACACCCCATTTCTCATACAGGCATAAATACAAAGATGTCATTTTAATTAAATTTTGGTATGCAATCAATTCTCAAATAGACTGAACAGTAGGAGGGAGTTGTATAAAGATCTTTACTACTTGAAAATTTTTCTCAATCATAGATTTCATAGTATGCTCCTAGTTGGTGAAATATAACAGAAGTCTCAAGTTGGCTGAGATTCAGGATTCTTATTTATTTTACATAAAATGAGCATACTCTTGGGAAATCAATCCAATCACTTCCACCATATAAAAAATGAACATTGCACCCAAAAATCCCTTTAAATGACTTCCAGAAGAATTTGAAAGCAAAAGACATCAACCATATATAGAAATGTAAAGAGCACACAACTCACTAGTCTAATCTTAATATCACACTTACTCTAAAATGTGCGTTGAAATGCACAAAGTGCAGCTATGCAACATAAAACTTGCTTTTGTGAATATTTGCCTCCCTCCCACCATAATTAAGCTTTTTTTTAAATGAACAAAAGACACCAAACTCTCCTCTACAACATTAAAATAGTATGATGCAGGGACCAAACGAACAGAACACTGCATACTTTCTCTTTCAAACAGTTTTCATGTGCAAAATATCAGCATGCAAAATCATTTCACCTACCTGAAGTGGTGTGTCCCTAAGAGAAATGCAAACAAGGCTGTCAAAATGTTCACTAGCTGCCGGTTCATTCCTGCTTCTGTGATGCTTGTGGAAAATATCCCGAAATGATTCCAGAGAGAAGACTGGGACAAAGTGTCTATTTATTGTCCAGATGAAAATCTGGCAGGAATCTAGTTTCCTTGAAAATCAAAAAGAGATTTGGGGTTGTACAGTTTGCTGAGAAAAAACAAAAAGTGCCAGTCCTGGGCAACATGGTCAGGTCAAACCGAGGTTCGGGACCATCAGTTAGCTCAGGAGAGACAAAGCCTCAGAACTGATGAATCCCCTAGCTGATTTTCCTGAATAATAAAAATGCTGCTCTACCTTAATCGCATCACCACGCAAAGGGGGCTGGTGACAATGCCATGCTGGAAGTCGGGCTGCTGTAGCTTTTGTTTTATATCTTTTCTATTCAGCAAAGCCCCTTTCTATAGGAAATGTTCTCTTTTGAAAAGAAGTTGTAAATGAGGGAGAAGAAAGGACTCTCTGTGTTGGAGTGTTTGGGGGAAAGAGGGAAAAATTACTAAGATCCTGTGCTGGAATGAGGGCTACAGAAAGAGACGGAGACGTGATCTTACCCAGCCTATAAATTTCAGCACTCGGACAGCTCCTAGCTCTGAAGTGCAAGTGCGCATGTTTCCTTTTTCAGTAGCTTGGGGCGGGGGTCGGAGAGAGGCATTCAAGAGGAGATGCGCCCGCTGTTGAAATGCAGAGAGTGACTGATTCTTTGTTGAGGGGACTACTGAAAAGGGGTGCGAAGACGACCAGGGTCCGAGTAGAGGGAAAAGGTGAGAGGGGCAAGGGTTTGAGCTCCTAGAAATGCTAGGCTGCCTCTAGGTAGGCGGGATAGGAGTTTGAATCAGAAGAGACCTGAATGAGGCTTCGGCGTCGGAAAAGTAACTAGGAAAGCAGAGAACAAGATTTGGAGGACTGAAATTATAATTGGGTGCAGGAAATCAACATCTGGTCAGTGGAAGCCAGCAGGAAAGAGAAGTCCTGTGCTGACATGGAGGGTGCATTTCCTCGGCAAAGAGAAGCTTTCGTTTAAGAAAAAAGAAGAGAAAGAGAGAGAGAGAGAGAGAGAGAGAGAGAGAGAGAGAGAGAGAGAGAGAGAGAGAGAGAGAGAGAGATATTCACGGGGATCAACAATTGAATTTAGAATAACGTTATGCCTTTCTGGGCTTTGGGGTATTTTGTTTTGAGTTTAGTCTCTTTTTCCCAAAAGATCTATCTCCCTACGTGGGAAAGTTCGTTCTACAGTTCAGTGACTCAAAATCCTTAAGACACAGATAAAATACAAAAGGGGAGAGAATGAGCCAGCAGGGGGCAGTAGCAATCTTTTCCTGCCCTGGTTAAGGTTTGAACAATGCTTCATGATAGAAATGATGCAAAGAAAAGTGAGACTTGGCGTTTAGTTTCTTCTCCCCATGACAGGTATTAATCATCAAGAAGGGTCGACTAATGAAATGTTGCTCTTCTTCTCCCATATTGGCTAAAGAGACTGAAAATAATGAAAGTTTCTAAGTCCGGTACAAAAGCATATCAGGTAACCTGCTATCTCCAACCGAATTTACTGAGGCTATTGATAAATAAAGGAAGGGGAGACGTTAAACAATAGTAACTGGTGGCACTTGGAAATGTGTGTCCTACCATGAACTGGGTGAGGAACTTGCTTTTTATCCATGAAATACAGTAACTGAAGCACTTTGGCACTCCACCACGGGGCTTGATTTGAGAATACACTGCAGTCATTACATTTATTTCATAAATGACAAGTTTCTCCTTGGATTGACTTAAATATAAAAGTAAAGTAACAAAGATTCCTATGCTTTTTTGGAAGGTAGGTTCTAATTTTAAAATATCCAAGTTTTTTTTTTCTTTTTAACCTAAAACACAGGAAGATCCCACTGAAGTGTGGATTCTAACACTGCAGGCTTGCCTCAGGACCTGAGATTCTGCATTTCTAACAAGTTCTTATTAGCTAAGGGTGATTACCTTCGGTCCACAGTCACACACTGAGTAGCAAGGCTACAAATGAACTTTCACCAGATTTTTATGCCACTCAGACAATGAAACTTTCTAGGCTTCTTCTGAGATAAAATGCAACAGTGTCGATGCCTTCTGCTTACATTCAAAATCAATTCCACCACATTTGTTTTCATAATCCTTAATCCTAGAAAAAAAAGTGACTCATTTTAAACAAAACAAAACAAAACAAAAAACTGTGTGGTGTGTGTTTTGATGAGACATCCCTGTACTCCAGCTTCAAATCTAGACCCTTCGAAGTTCATCCACATAGAAACTCTAGACATGACTGTGTCTCTGCAGGCCTGGTACTTCTGTCAAAAAAAAAATCCCAGATATGTATCTTTTCAGCTTATTCTATATGGAAAAATTATATATGATGTTTGTATGTGCTTAAGAATATTTCCAAAATAAAGTAGAGATAAAAGTAGAAGAAATTGATTTGTCACAAATAGAAGATTGTAATGATGCCCAGAGTAAACATTTTTTAATTCCTTCTTTCTAAACACAGAGCCATGCCATGCACCAGGAGGGGGTAGACATTGTGAGTTGTAACACACAGACACTCAGCTCCTAGCACACAATTGTGACACTGCACTATTTTAGATCTGAACGGTAATTTAGAAAGGATCAAGTTTACCCTCTTTATATTACTTCTCAGCTTTCCTCAATTTGGATCCCACCCCTTTCAAGTCACAGAAAGAACTCTCATCAAGTTTGCCAATGAATTATCTGCATCTGAGGTCAAAGAACAACATTTACCTACCTTTATTTTTTTCCTGACATTTCCATAGTATATAATATCATTGGTCTCTTGTTTTGCAAAGTTTGTCCCATTGTGACACAGTGAACTCCCAGATATCTCCTTTTCCATCTTATTGTCAGGCATACCGTCTAACATATGGCCTACGGAAGTTTGATTTCTTAAAAACTATATTCTAGGACCTCACTTCTTCTCATACTCTACTATATTAGCCAATATTTTGATACTATAACTACCATTGTCTTTCTCTGTAAATTATACACAAACACAAAAAATATAGTCATCCATCTGTTTCTTTGGTAATTTTTTCATATCTCTAAATGTCTTCAAATTTCTCTCATGCTAAAATAAACTGTTTAAAAATTTCCCCGATTTTCCACAGCATCTACTCCACTGTCACCAACCAATGGACAAAGCAACTCTCTGTGATGCCCTTCCCATCAGTTTCCAAATGAAGTCTTCACAAAGCCCCACTGATTTGTCTTCCAACTATTTCTCAAGTCTACCCATTTTTCTGTATCTTATTTTCTCTGATCTCATTTGGGAGATCCTTATGGTGCTGTCTTAGTCTTCTTACTGGCTCACTAGAACCAACAAACTCTTGCAACATGCTGCAACAAAAATGAAGAATCAAAATTAGAATCTGATCACACATAGCATCTAATTAATGATATGGTTCCTCACTAACCTTTGGGAAAAACAAGAAAATAGCCGGGAGGTGGTGGCGCACGCCTTTAATCCCAGCACTCGGGAGGCAGAGGCAGGCAGATCTCTGGGAGTTCAAGGCCAGCCTGGTCTATAAGAGCTAGTGCCAGGACAGGCTTTAAAGCTACAGAGAAACCCCATCTCGAAAAAAAAAATTGCTTAATATGGTCTAAAGATCACTCATAAATCTGGCTAAACTTAGTTTGTCCCTAATCTTGTCCCTTTTTCGGCCTGTCCCCTCAAACCATGTTTAGTTTCTTATGCTTGCTATAATAAGATTTATCTCCTGGAATGCTCAACTACATTTAGAGATTCCTTCCTTAAGAAGGTCTTCCCTAACCTGCACAACTCTATCAGCTCTACCTACTGTAGCGAATCTTTATACTTCCAAAGTTTGATTTATAAGCATGTTACCATTTCATGAATATAAGAGTTTGATTACCTAGTGTTAGGCATTGATGTGGAAAGGCAATCAAATTTTTAAAAAATGATATGAGTATGGTTTTCAGTGTGCTGTTCAAAGATAGAATTTGGGAAACTCTATAATGAGGATCATGTGATCTTAAATTGGAATTTAAATCATGAGGGGATCATCTCATCAATAAATTAACCTAGTAATGTACTCATAATTGAATGTCTTATCAAAAGGTCATCAAAACTGTAAGAAATGGGTCCTAGTTGGAGGAAATAGGTCATTGGGAATGTGTCCATGAAGGCTATACCTTGTATCCTGTTCTTCTTTTCTTATTGTGGCTGCCATGGTGTGAGAATATTTACTGTATCATATCTTCTACACTAAGATGTTTTACCTCTACATGAGCTCAGAGATAGAACCAAAAATCATTGGCTGAAATTTCTGAAACAATGAATCAAGAAGAATCCCTTTTCTTCTTTGAGTTGACTCTTCCAAGAATTTTTTCACAGTGACTAATACACTTATATAAGCTTTAAGATGAACAGAGATGGCAGATTCAATCTGTTATTACACTCCTATACATTTAGTGCTAATGACAATAGGTATAATAATAATACTGGTGGCAAATAAGGTACAACTTTAAATGTATACACAAAAATTCCAATTAAATGAAACCATATACATAATTATATATGAACCATAAATAATTATACAAAATTACTTATTACAAAGTTTGAGTTGTAAAAGAATATTTTCATTTACAATTGATACACACTGAGTAGTTGAGGAAAACTTGAACTAATAAATCACCAAGTTGTTTCATAAAATCTTTAATTGATGGATGTTGCTTCTTCACAAAGAATAGTAAAGCTAACTTTAGTTTAATAAAATGATCCTCTTGAAATGTGGGAAAGATTCACATGCCTTAACATATTCTTATCATATAGCTCTAAATTAGAATAGATTTTACAGTGAAAATAATCTGAGATAGTATTAATGGATTGATATATTTATTAAATCATGAGATTAAAGTCATTAGATACCTATGAGGGATTGCCATTGCTTAACCATGTATAATTTTGTATGTAAATGGTTACATAGGTGATTTATTGGTGAGATGA